TAAACATAATTTCTGATTTTCTTAAAATAAGTTTTGAAAAATGATAATTGATATTTAAAAAATTTCAAAGTCAGATTTCAGTTTTTTTAAAATGGAAAAAAATGGTCAATTTTGCTGACTCAAAAAAACTAGATTTTTTTTTTAAAATTTCGGACGTGCTAGGAACGATTAAAAAATGGAAAAAATACCCCAAAAATACTTTGACCTTTCCTCTTAATAATAACAAACATTTAGACGATAAAATTTTGACAAGAATCAAGTTTACGTCTTTTTTCATCATGCTATGCTCTTTTTTTAGCGATCTCGTGGAGGTACCTACTTTTAAATGAAAGAATATATCCTTTGCTTTCAGAAAAGGACTAGTTTCATGGGGTTCAGATCAAAAGTGTCCTTGATATTTGTTTAGATGATGATAAAACAGGCATTTTTCAATATTTTACCCCTATAAAAGTATGAAAATCCATTTTTCAGAGAAAATAAGCTGTGGCAAAATGACTTTATTTAAGTTCAGTGGGGCTATAGGAAACTTCAAACAGTTGTGATCATATATATATATATATATATATATATATATATATTGAAAAAAAAGCGGAGGTACCCGAGACATTATTTAATTAGAAGGACTTAATTGCTTTTAAAGATATATTATGGACACTATTAAGAAAAAGATGTTTTTTTTTTTTTTTTTATGGATAATGAATTTTTACAAGAATTGTTTTCCTTATTTTCAAGTTTTAAACCTTAAATTTCTGTATTAATTTGTACCGGTCAGGTGATATTGTTATTAAGTAAAAATATTTATGATTAATAAATGGAAAAACCTCGATCTCCCCCGCCCCAAACCATATTTAAAAAAGATTTTGTGTGTGTGTGTGTGTCTATTAATGTGCTGATTTTTGTAAATAAGAGCGGCAACTCTAGTAAATTTAAAGACAAAGTACCTAAAATTAAAATTTTTTTTTCATTTTTAAAAATTAAATTTTAAACCTGTATTAAATCATCACTCAGAAGATTTACATTCAACTTACGAGTTACCATTCCTTCTTCAGGAACATTGGATTCCTGACTTTCCGATCTCTGTTGAGAGCTTGGAGTTCTGGCAGGCGACGACATGCTCGCTTGACTTGAGACGTTTCAAACTGGCACTGGGAGAGGAGGGGAAAAAAATAAAAGGAAATAATTTCAAAAGAAATAATAAAAAGACATATTCGTAGATTTTATGCACCAAAGTATGCATTTCATACTTTGATGATAGATCAAGAACAATAACTCCTACCGAAAAAGAAAAAGCATTCAAGTGTAGATAGAAGTTTGCTTACAAAATTTAAAAAGGAAGAAAGTAGATTTTTAATTTAATTAAAGCTTTTTAAAATCAAAAGAACTTTTACATAACGTTAAATTAAAAAAAGAAAATTGAAATCAGCGTGTCAAAATTAAATCGACCGAGTTCAGTTTAATGAAATTAATTAAAGTAAAAAAAAAAAAAAAAAAAAATTTGGTGACAGTGAAGTAAATAATTTCTGATTCACTAGTAAACATGGGAGAGGGGAGATCTTTTCGTGGGTGTGGTGGTGGTGGGGGGGGAATGTTTGTAGGAGGTCATTCATTAAATCTTCCGCAAGGCACATTTGTTTGAATCGAATGTTTTTTTTTGTTTTTTTTAGTCGACCAGTCTATTTAAGAAATAGTGCATTATTTGTTTTTTTGCGAACCAATTGTAAAACGACAAAAAGTTTTTGTTTTTTTTACGGCGCATTTCTTGTAGTTAATAGATTGTCTTAGAAAAGAAATGCACCTTTGAAACAAAATTAATCCAAAATGATTTTTTAACAAAGCAAATTATTTAAAAAAAAAGAAAAAAAGATACTTGACTTGTTTACAAAAGAAAAAAAATAAACATTACTGATGTTAAAATAAATGTTATGCATGAGGTTTTCTTAAAATATGCACACACAAAAATTTAAAAGTAATCAACAAACGAATACCAGTTTAAAAAATAACACAAAAATTACTTCGTGTGATAGTACTGTAGTGAAATCAAAATATTTAGTGAAAATTAATGATAGTTTTTTTTTTTTTTTTAACAGAAATACTAGTGTGCGAACACTAATTTAATTAATCACACACACTTATAAAAAACAAATGATTTTTTTTTTTTTTTTTACTCAATATTCAAAACCTCATGAACACTTTTTCAAATACTTGACACTTAGACTCCAATAATTTAAATTAAGTATTATTACTTCATATTTTTTTTTTTTTTTAAAAGAAATCAACATTCGAAAAGTTACAGTAAGTGTGTAGGTGGCTTATCGTAGTTCTAATTTCTAAACTATTCTAACTATTGTTTCGTACACTACGATACCTAAACTTTTCACTGGGAACCGAAAACGATTACCAAAGTACTGGACAATACATTGTACACTTGATTAATTCAAAAATAGAATCTTAGTTTTTTTTTTATACAATAAAAGATTGACCCAAATTCTAAATACTATTTTTTTAACTGGATCCATTACTGATTTTTGAGAGCATTTTTTTAATGAATGCTTCAACTGCAATTTCTTCATCCATCGAAGATGGCAATTTTTTTTTTTTTTACATACGTAAACGAACTAAATGTAAAAAAAAAAAATATTCGTACACGAATAAAAACAAAGAATCTGAACAAACAAACAAAAAAAAAAAACGAATAAAAATACATTTTTTTATGTCCTTTAATTTTTTTTCAATCCTCAGACTGAAATGAAGAGAATATATACAAAAGAAAAAAAATTGGATAGTCAAATCCAAAAAAAAATGAAAAACAAAAGAGCCAACAATCACTAGCTAACAAATAAAGTTCGTACGAATTATCACTTAACCAGTATATATCAATTACGTATCAATGGATTTAATCGAGGAAAAAAAAATGTAAAATTATGATTTTTTTAAAAAAAAAATAAATGTGCCTATAGTGAATGTTTTCTCAGAGACAACCTACTTCTTTAACTTAAAAACTAAAAGCAACAGCACACACAGCCAAAGAAAACCATTGCTAGAAACAAGATAAAGTTAAAAGTTACATCAAGATTATAAGCAAAACATACAAGAGACAAGTAAATTAATCATACCGCTTTAATTATTCGAAACTGGTAGAAATACACCAGACGACAGCAAATTCATACACGTACCTGTAAGAAAGAAAAACCGCGCCAATCTAAAGTCACGTGTTAAAAAAGGCGCGCGAAATTGTCGACAAACATTTGGCTCTATTCTACAATTCTTCTATTCTGTTATTCTGATATTCATGCTTGGAAAATGTGCCTATCTGATGGATAATAAAAATTTTACTTTTCTTTTTTAGTGTATTATTCTGACTAGAAAACCTGTATAATAAAGAAGTTTAGCAGAAATTAAAAACTTTGAAAATAATTAGTTTTTTGTTTTATTAGGCTTGTTCACTTGTTTTTAAACACTTAATTTCTTAGCATTTCATTAATTTATTAAATTTTTTTCTTAAATTTTTGCATTTATAAATGAACTTTAAGTGGTCCCAACCTTTCTGTTGGGACGCATAATTGCTGGTGTCTAGAAAACTTTTTTAAAAATGATCATTTTTAAGAACTAGCTTTAATTTAAAAAAAAAGACAAAAAGAGTGAACCTTTCGTAGGGTTGTTTTTTGCGGGTGACAAGATTTTTATTTTACTAAGCGTAGCTTCGATAGCCGTATGGAGCACCTAGTGAGGATTGAACTCAGTACAGTAGTAATTGGTCCAGACAAGATTTTGTTTGTTTTAAATAAAACAGCGAAATCCTTACTTATTTCCATTTCAAATCGAAGGAAGAAAATTTCAACTTAGTTTTTTTTAGATCAGTTTCTGTTTACTTTTTGTTTTGACAGTTTTTTTTACTTTTTTTTTTTTTTTTTACACCGTTAGCACGAATTTATTTCTTTTTTTTTTTAAAAAAATTTTACTATATGTTCTCACTAGTTTTATATCGGGGGCTATCTGTTTTTAAGCAAGAATGTTATTGTATTTGTATTTAAAAAGGCAAAGAACTGAAAGTAACCAGCTCCTTTGTGACGTTGTTCGGCAAATTAACAAACACTTCTTTTTCTTTACTTTAAGAAAATAGTAGGTCTTTTTAGGCTTTAATGCAGTTCCACTTTGTAAACATTAATTTATGCATTTTATAAGCTCTCTGAATGCAAGTAGCCAGTTTATTTCGTATATTGTTTCCATACGAAAACCTTTACTATTATTTACAATTTCATGGTTAAAATAAAAAGCTTCAGTAGTTTTTCATTTGAATTTATTGAGTTGTGTCCCTTGATACAAAATTATAATTTTTTTCCAACACCGGTTGACCTCCACATGTGTTTGATAACACGGTGATCATGCGCCAAAAATCACTTTAAAGGATTATTTTATGAAAACTCTTTTAACATACAATCAAAAGAGATATACTTTATTTAATTGGGATTACTATGGCCATATGTAAATTGTATAAGTTATTTTTCAAAGTGAAACCAATAAAATTATTCTGTCGGCAGGTTCATATAAAAAAAATAAAATATAACGTTCCTTCACCTTTTTACTTTCGCCTTTATTCTAACTCTTCTTCATCGCAAATCACCACTGTTGAAAATAATGAAGAAAAAGAAATTGATCCTAACCAGTCTACACCTTCTTTACCTTACATTTCAAAAAGATTGAAAAAACGACTCCAAAATTCAATTTCTGAAAAAAAGAAAGATGAAGAAAATGTTCAAATCTCTGAAGAAGCTAAAGAAATCATCCAGGAGTTCATGAAAAATGAACCTTCCTCTTCCGACTTACCAGTAGATTTTCCATCAGATTCTAAGAGATATACTGATTGGTATAGAAGCCAAGAAAGAAAAGCCTATCGACCTAAAGTCGATCCGGAAACTACCACAATTTTTCTCTTCCCTGGTCAGGGCAGCCAGTTTGTAGGAATGGGAAAAGCATTGCTGGATTACCCAAACGTTAAAGAAATGTTTGAAATCGCTAACAGTATATTAGGTTACGATCTTCTAAAATTGTGTTTGAATGGACCCAAGAAAGAACTGGACAAAACTGCTATCTGTCAACCTGCTGTGCTTGTTTCATCCTTAGCAGCTGTAGAAAAACTTAAAGTCGAGAATTTACAGGTGAGTTGCAAAGAGATGAAAACTCCATAAGTAAATTAAATTTATGTTATAAATCTGCGGCGTTATTACGAATAACATTCATTTCTTGAAGATTCAAAAATAATTTGAGTGTATTCTTCTAAAAAAGCAGTCATACCTGGTATAGTAATTATTATTTTTAGAAAATAATATATATATTTTTTTTTTGCTTTTTAAGTAATAATTATATTGTAATTTGCTTTTACTTTTCACATTTTACAATTTTTTTCATTTACTAAATATCATGTAATCCAAGGCTTGATAGCCACTCAAAGTAGAGTTACTGTCAAACTGTTAATGATGAATGAGATGTATGATATGAATAGAAGTGAAGGTTGTAGGAATTGAAGATTGAGGATAGATAATGATGGACTCTTGGCTTGAACAGGTCAGTTAAAGTATTCATGAGAGCACCCACGAAGATTGTGTTCCACAAAAGAGTGGCAATTCTTGGGGAAAAAAAACCTGTCAGAGTGGAACTTCTTTCTTACATTTGGCACATAGAGGTAATGAAGATGATTCAAGTCATTGGCAGTAGCACAGAATGTCCTAGCAGTAGAGGTCTGAACTGGTGGAACAAAAAAAAGAATGGATCTCTTCTGAACATTTGTCATGCACGTAACAACAGGCAGGCAACATTGCGCCAATGATCAAATATGTTATAGAGTTGAAAGTCATTCTCCACAAGTCCATGTGAATGATTTTAAACTCTATCAAGGATAGTGAGGATTGAGCTGCTCTAGCCCAAATATGACAGTAAAACTTCATTTTTAGCCTTATTTGACACTTCATTTTTAGCCTTATCTGATACTTGTAAAGATTGAACATGGTAGAAGGTGTCAGATACTTGGAGCAACATAGTGAGCTGACCATTTTTCCAGCTTTTTAAGCAATAGACTGCATGTACAAGTTTGGAGTAAACTTGAGACCCAGTTGATGTTCAAAGTATGGAATATCATTGAGAGTGAAGTTGGAGTTTGAACAGTGGTGATAAAATGTTATTAGCTTTGTTTTTGAGGCATTGAAAGTAACAAATGCCATTTTTTATACTAATGTTCATCCAATACAAGGCCCAAGAACCACTCAAGGTAGAGTTGAGCATAGTGTTGAAAAGACAAGTTCATGAAATGGAAAGTGCAGTTCATGAGGTTATGTAGGAAAAATAACAGTTTAACCCTAGATTTGAAGTAGTTAAGATTGTTGTCAGTGGGAAAATATGCTGCTGGGAGCCTGTTTCACAAAGAAGCAGTTCTTGGGAAGAAACTGTCCAAGTGGAGCTTACTTCTTACTAAATGAATACAAAGGGAATGAGGATGATTCATCCTTGTGTACATGCATGGTGGGTCCCAGCGGCAAAGTTCAAGGTTGGTGAAAGCAAGGATTGTAGCTCATCAGAATGTTTGCCATGGAGATAGAGTAGTGAGTGTTTTGCCATGTTTTATCTGTGGGGAAGTGGTTGTAGGGTGGAAAATAGCTCATGCCCCGACAAGGCTGTGTAGACACTTTTGAACTGAGGACTGAGATATCTCAGCAATACTCCATTTTTTTTTGTCTGATCTCGCTCTTCAAAAAATAAGTGTATAGTGATGGCGGGGGGGGGGCAGATACATACTGGGGTAGGGATGCCTGCATTTATCTCATCAGCTTCAGAAGACTACCCATTCACAACAACCTTCATTGACCTACTTGAGAGAAATAATGTGATTGCATAAAATCTTCCAGAGATGCCATTACCCAATCTCATTAAAATTAAATAAAAAAGATTATTTGTTAATCACTAGGCAATTTATTATAATTCTATTCCACCTAATGGTTTGTTTATAAATGTCAAATTTACTTAGGTGACAATATGGAGATATTTGATGAAGCACAAATTCATTGATTCAACAGTATTCCTTTAAAGGTTCCAATTACTTCAAATATTTTTTTTAAATCCTGTTTTTGTTTTTTTTGTTATTTTTTTCAAAATACAATTTAAGAACATTTCAGCTATTGTACCCTCTGGCCTTCTACAATTGTTTTTTTGAGAATAAGAACAATCTACTCTTATGGATTTAAAAAGTGTTCATTTTGAAATTTCCTGGCAGTTAGCTGGATTGAGAAAAATCTGAAGAAAGGCAAAACAGCCAAAATGTTGTGATAACAACAAAGATAACAATAGTTTGAATGTAAATTATATAAATAATGATAACTCATCATTCCAGAAATTCAGACAGAAAAACTACTTAAGAAGTTGTTAAAAACAGTTTCAAATGGAAATAAAAGAGAATTGAACTGAAACTAATCGCACTAATTTTAGTTAGTTTTGTGTGTCTGATTATATTAATCTTAGTAAAGGCTTATTGTTTGCATGTTTCCCACTGGCACCAATGCTCAGTGTTGGATATTAAATGCTCATTTTCAAAACAGGCCAGTTTTAGGAAGAAAATTTTAAATCATAGAGTACGATTTGTTAGAGTAGAATTAAAGAAATTAATTGGAGATAAAGTTGTGAGTGGGGGAAAATGTCATCAAGAAAATAAGATTGCTGCTATATTTGGTCAGATGCTTCTGCAATACATTTCAAGATTCTTGATAAAATCCAAAGAAGGGTCTGCAATGTTATTGGCTCTGACCTAGAATCTCAACTTCAATCACTTCCCCACTGCCATAACATGGCTTCTCTCTGTCATTTCTATACATATATTTTCATGGTAATTGTTCTAATCAACTTTTCTCCTTGGTACCATAACCACATGAATTTAAGTCTATTACTAAATTGGAAACTAGGTCTCATCATTTTACTGATGAAATAGCTAAATGTAACCATACGTTTTATTATAATAATATCTTTTCTCATCTGTGGAACTCTCTTATGGCTTCTAACTTTTCTGTCAACTATGATCATCAAAAATTTAAATACAACATCAATTGTTGTCATTTGTCTCATTGAATTGTGTTTTTTATTGTCCTTTTTCCCTCACTAACATCTTTTCATTTTCTTTCACTCTCAGTAACCCTTTGTGGTATTATAGCCTTGCTTGTGGTGGAATGATTAAAAAAAAATTAAAATTAGTAAGTCTTAAAAATAGAAATCATTTAATTTATAGTAATGAAATAAGTATTCTAATAAACCAGTCATATAATAATTGTGCTTGACCCCCAATTCTGTTATGCCCTGTCAATACCTCATAAATAATGGACTATTCTGTTTTGATTGTGGGAGAAGACAAAAGACATCAAAGACACTACTTGGTTTCAGTCAGAAAATAAAAGAAAGAAGGGAAGATAGAAATGAAAAAGTTTTCAATTCTAATCTTTTCATTTGTACCCTCTTACTTCTTAAAATAATGACCAGCATTCATATTTATGATTGTTATTTCAATATTTTGTTAAAGTTGTTAAGCTCAACAATTTAACGATGTGATTGGGGAATTTTTACAGATATTTTTTGGTCATAGAACACACCATGAGTCAAATAGGAAAACTGAAATTTTCACAGGTTAAAACTAGTTTATATTAAACTATTTCTTCAATTAAATAAAACTATTACCATCTAATATCATTTAATAAAATATCAGCTTAACATGTACCATCAAAATACAGCAGCTATATTTTAGTAATATTGCAATTGCATTGGTTATATTTTTTGCATGAGTTGTCTAAGGTTTTATCTTTACAAGTAACTTTATTTTCATATGTAAAAAAAAAAGATGTCTAGAATCTGTCTATATTTCTGAGATGAGGTATTATGTACATTATTTACATTATTCGGACTATTGTCCTCATCTTTGTCCCCATATTTATCACAACGTTTCGGCCGTATTCTGTTGAAGAAATCCTCGAGCATCTGGGAGATATGAGCTTCGACATTCCAACCACCTGAAGAAGGCTGGAACGTACAATGGCCGAAACATTGTAATAAATATGGTGATAAAGATGAGGACAATAGTCCGAATAATGTAAATAAAGATGTCTAGATTTCATTAAAAGTAAAAATATCCAGAGAAAGCTATCATAAAAATGTATTAACAACTAGATCCCCCAATATATTAATGATATTCCGTTGTTATGGTAACATAAGCATGGCATGCTTTTTTCTCCAAGAATTGCCATTTTGTGGAACAGACTCCCACATGGGTGCTTCCTTAAACAATATTGAGCATTTCAAGTCAAGAGTCCATCTATATCTAATTTTAATCAAATCCTTATAATTGTCCCTTCCTACCATCTCTTCTTTTATATCACACACCTCATTTATCATCACCATTTTGATTGTAATCTTCTACCTTGATCAGGCTGCAGGACTAGTATATAAATTCTCATTTTATTTTATATAATAGATTATTTCCTCATTATAAATTAAATGTCTTCTAAGATTCATAGAACAAATCAAAATAGTGTTTTATTAAAACTATTATTTCAGATGAAAATATTTTCTCTGGCTTATTTCTAACTAGCAAGCCAAAGGCATGACTATTTTCCAGGATTTTTTAACTACCCTGAAATGGATTTTTGTCCATTGTTTTTTTTTCTAGTCATCAACAGGATCTCTTCCATTTTTAAGAATGACATGACACTACCAGGAGAACAAATCCCCATCCTCCATTTGTTCTTAGGCTCAATTAATGTAAACTTAATAAATATATATCAGTAGGGAATGCCTGGTTTCTTCATTTTGTTTCTAAAATCAGTAAACAAAATTTAGTAGATTGTGTTAAATAAGTCCTTAATTCAATGTTATTAAGTTAATGAGTTATTTTAGGAAATTTTTGAAGTTTTGGACAAATTGTATTATTTTCTTACTATTTTGTTAAAATGTATCCATTAATTACAGTAGAAATAATTCCCAGTGTTGTTGTTGTTGTTAACACTTATATATAGGATTATATATATATATATATATATATATATATATATATATATATAAAATTTGCCACTTATCTGATTGATGTTATCTTCAGTATCCTGACTAGATTTTAGTAGAGGGACCCTCCAGCAAACGCTCCATCCATTCGTCAGAGAATATCAGTAATATTTCAAGTTCTCATTTTTTATTCTGGGGCTTAGATATCTCCAGTTAAAGTAGGTACCTCCACGAGATCGCTAAAAAAAGAGCATAGCATGATGAAAAAAACGCGTAAACTTGACGAAAACAAAATTTTATCGTCTAAATGTTTGTTATTATTAAGAGGAAAGGTCAAAGTATTTTTGGGGTATTTTTTCCATTTTTTAATCGTTCCTAGCACGTCCGAAATTTTCAAAAAAATCTAGTTTTTTTGAGTCAGCAAAATTGACCATTTTTTCCATTTGAAAAAAAACTGGAAATCTGAGTTTGAAATTTTTTAAATATCAATTATCATTTTTCAAAACTTATTTTAAGAAAATCAGAAATTATAATGTTTATTTAAAATATTTTGAACCAAACTTAACTTAGCTTTTTGTGCCATGAAAAAAACATGTAATTTGAAAATAAAACAAAGCAGGTCATAAACTTTCGCGTCTCTTGACATGTGATGAATGATATATTTACGAATTCCATGAGGCTAATTTGTTCTACGGAAGGAGAAAAGTGAAATAATTTACATTTTCGTGAACAAATTATTTACCCGTTATTTTTTAAAAAAAACTTTCAGCGGTCTAATTTTTTTTTTTTTTTGTACTTAGCTTTCACCTTTATGTTTATGATGCTTTATGGGAAATATATTGTAAAGAAATTAAAATAAAACTGTTAAGAGTGACATTAAATTTTCATATTTCTTAAGAAAGGTATCTAATTAATTTATAGGTACCTTTCTTATGAAATTTTATCAGAATTGTACATAAAATACTATAATTTTTATGTACATTTATTACATTCTACTGTTATTTGTATTTGCATTCATTTTATTATTAATTTTGATATTTCATTTATGGAAAAATGTCGTAACTGAGATTAATATAAAAATAAGATCATATAAATTTCATAAGATGATACTGATACTTGTAGGTACCCTTCTCAGTTGAAATTGAAAAATCAAATTAACTTCTCCACACGTGTTTCATAAAAAGTAAAAAGGCCTTAACAGCGGAGAACAATGCTTAACTCAAATAATGCAACTTAATTATATTCTGGTTGGTCTTCCGTATTTTATAATTACAGCTCGATTATAAGCACAAAATTACATTTCTTAATTACTGGGGATCTTCTGATTAGTCAAAATGATACAATTTACAACAACGCTAAAAAAAGATCTATCTCATAAGGACACTTATGAAGGCCGATTCGACTTTTAACTAATTTTATAATATTTTAACAACTTAAATGTAAAATCTATTATAATTAATGAAATAACAAATAATTGTATTAAAATTCATTTTTCATCGAAAAAATTTTTTTGCTTTCAGAAAATATTGTCCATATTCATAAAAACAACTAAAAGCAAATAAAAGCATTTGAAATTAAATAATATCTTTGTTTTATTGAGTTTTGTATGTTACAATTCAGAGCTGATTTTCAGGTACTGCGTATCCAATAAAAAAAAAAAAAAACATGATTTGCATTCCTCAAAGCCCTGTGCTTTTAATTATTGTAATCACTAAAACTGATCGATCGAATTTCTAGCATTTTCATAAAATTAGTTTGGGGGGGTAATAAATATTTTAAAAATATTTCTACCATGACTTTCATAAAAAAAAACATATTTATAATAATTTCGATCATCTGTGAATAGTTCCTGAAAGTTTCATTAACATCCGATAATTATTTCTATTTTTGCATGATTTTTCAAATTAATGTGTCATACCAAAAAAACGTGCTAAAAATTGTCTATGTTATTTACTAGTTTGCTGATACAAATAGAAAAAAGGTTTTTTTAATCAAAATTTAGAATTTTCTAAAAAGAAGGAAAATTTTTTAAAAATAATTAAAAAAACTTTGGTCTTTCCTCTTAATAATAACATAAGCATTTAGACAATTAAATTTTAGTTTTCGGCCAGGTTGGCGTCTTTTTCATCAAGCTATGCTCTTTTTTTAGCGATTTCGTGGAGGTACTTAAGTTAAAGGACTTATAAAATGGCCTAAATGACTTTTCAGTAATGTTAGTTTTTAATGTGAGTTCTATGTAAGAAATGAACATTCCTCATTAGCAATTCCCCCATTATGGGCATTATTATATACATGATATAATAACACCTTAATACACGGGTGGAATGGAATAGCTGAAGGAAAAGAAATGACAAACATGCTTTGTTTTCATAGAGAGTTTTAAGTCATACCCAAAATTTTATGCAAACATTTACACTTGTCCCATGTAGAGAGACTATAATACAACTATGCTACAACAAGCAGTGCAAAAAGGACAAAGAGAAATAGGGTCTTACTTGTAATACTTCAAAACAGGATTTTGAACTGCTTATGATATCTTCTATGTTCCTGGAAAAACCCTATTTATCCTAACAAGAAAACGGTGAGTCCATGTGGTGCAACCATATTTATATTAATCCAATGGGGATTTGAGCAGGCCAGATTTATCTTTGTTACAAGTGAGGACATATTTCTCAAAATGGAAAACAACAAGTCATAGGTATTTCACAACATGAAGACTGCGAGCCAGAGATAGTTTCTATAATTTGAGCAGGCTAGATTTACGATCTTCTTTGTCTCTAGTGAGGACATCTTTTCCAGTGGGAAAACAACAACACTTTTGTCAGTCTATAAATTGACGTCACTAAGCAACAGTCACACAAGCAACATTACGTCATATTAACCAAAGGGAAATAATCACCTTTTGTATCTCTACAGTGTTAATTTAAAAACTATACCTCCCATCTTATCTCTATAAAACATAATCTTTGTGAATAGGAGGGCAAGAAAACCCCATTTTGTGGTGAAAAATCCTTGAAATTATTTCTTTGCTTGTTTACATGAAATATTGCAGGTTATTGCTTGTCAGTAGCCAAGCATTTATTGTGCCATCTGTGCTAAATATTTTTAAAATGATTTTTGTAGTAAGCAGAAATAATGTTTAAGATAAGAAATTGTACAGAGTAGACCATTTTCAGTTTAAATTATGTTTTTATTATATTAGCAGAAATCTTTATTTTTATTAGTGCTATTTGATGATCTGTGATGATATATTATTAGGCTAATATCCTGAACTTGCTTGTTTTATCATATTTGATAGGAAAAATTAATTCACAGACTACTTCAATATAGGAGACATAATTGGTTATTACTTCAGGACTACCTACAAAGCAAGCCAAAGAATACATCATTTAAAATATATTTCAAAAATAAAGAATTCTTTATATTTTCATATCTGTGATTTTATCCTCAATCACTACTCTGTCTTCTTTCCTTGATAAAGAATTGGATGTTTTGGAAGCCCACTTCACTATGCTTCTCTAAGTTACTCTGTCTAGAGCTATGTCTTCTTTCAACTTCAAGTTCTTGAGGCTGTTGTTGACAACTGCTCTCCAAGTTTTCTTCACTTGTCCTTTGTTATGACTTCCCTCAATGCTCAACTCAGAACACTGCTTCAATCATGTTTTTATTGCTGCTGTACATGTTCAATTTCAAACAATTTCTTGTGAATTTAACCATTTTTATGAATTAGGTTTCACCCACCTGAGCTGAATATTTCAACAAGACAGAGGTACATGATTTTTACATTAGCTCTTTAACTGTTTAATTTATCAACAGAGAGGTTATTCTTTTATGTGCCATATATATATATATATCTTACTTATTATAAAATGCAGATTGTGTGTGTGTGTGTATGTAATCGTTTATATATTGGATCGGATTTTACATTTTAAACCGATTTCAACAAAACTTCACAGGACTACATAAAAATTACCTTTTTGGTGGTTCTAACAGCACCAAAATGGGAAAAATATAATTGTTTTTTGCACAAAATCAATTTGAAACACGATTAAGAGACATCGTGAAAATGGAAGGGGACAACTTATCGGGTTGTTTTTTGTGTGGGTTCCTTTAAATATGGGAGATGACACTTTTTTTTTTTTGAAAGTGTTTTTATTCTCTTGCACACTTTTTTTTTTATTTTAACATTCAGAATGCTTTAAAAATTCCATTTACAAGACAATTATTTATAATAAAATTTTTCATAACGGTTGAAAACAATGTTTTTTGTTTGAGTTTGGTTTGACCAATCAGGCGTGTCCGTCAACTTTAAATATGAATACAAACATATAAATTCTTTTATCTTTAGGGAAATATAATGAAATAAAATACAAGTCCTAATAAAAATATATATATATATCCAATTTTTTATATTCATAAAAATCATAAATAAAAAAGAAATTACAGAAAGGCAATAAATGAATAAATTTGTTAGATCATAATTAATAAACCCAAATAAAGTTAATATTTTTTGTATTAGTGTCATTTAGTGGAAAATATATTTAAATCAGAAACAAGCAAAATATGCAAATTACTGTATTCAATAAGTAAAATCATAAATTGTAAAACTAAAAGATTACAGAAAGGCTACCTACATTTTTCAAACTGATTTCAATAAAAAAATTGTCTTGAAAATTGAATGCTTTAAAAATTCCTTTAGAATTGTTTATAAAACCAAGAGATCCCAACAATTGAAAACAATGTTTTGTTTTAATTTTTGGGTTTGACCAATTCTAAAAAAAAATAAAATAATTAAGACATGTGTGTCTGTCAACCTTAAACAATAATCTTTGTCAATTTTATTTTTCAGTCTTTATGATGGTGGATACTTGATCTATCTCTTACTGTTATAACTAATATATATATATATATATATATATATATATATATATATATATATTAAAAAAACAAGGAGTCACTACAACTCACAATGGGCTACTGGGAGTGAAAGAAAATGAGAAGACTTTAGAAGGAACCAGAATCCCAATTTTGGAAACAAGGAAAAACATCTTTCAAAAAAACAAATTTTGAATGAATGTATAATTTTTATTTTTTTAATACAATTTTGAAGGCAATTGCAGGCAATTGAAAATTGTGTTTCTGCTGCTGGATTCAGTATTGGGGAATTTGCAGCTCTTGTTTTTCTGGAGTAATAACATTTGAAGATGGTAGGAAAATTTTGATTTAGTTTTTTTTTTTTTTTCTTGTTTGTTAAAGAAACTTTTTATTAAATATAAACATTTCACTAAAGCCGTAAACAGATTTTTATTAAATATTTTGACTTTTGTTCTTTAGCAACATTTAAGATTGTTATTTTAATCCTTGAGTACCTTATTATTTGTTAGATGTTTATTATCTGTTACCTGTAATTGTATGGGGTTAGTGATAATCTTAACCTTAACCCTAAGATGGAGGAAAAGGAAGAGGCAGTTTTTTTTTTCTTTTCTTTTGTTTTTCTAGTAATTAAACTTATTTTCCTATGAAGTATTCTTCTGCATTTATTGTCTACCCATTTGTAAGTTACTTTGAAATTTGGAATAGCAAAATATAGTTGGCCAATATATAGTAAAGACAAAAATTTTATTTTTTGTTTTTATTTTTGTAGTTTCATTTTTATCCTTAAAATAAGTTTCTAAAAAAAAATGTTAGTGTAATGTTTTTACATTAGGGTGACAAAAGAAATAAATAGAAAATCAAGACCAATTAAGTTTTATAGTTAACAAATAATGGTTTAATTATAATTTTAATGATTTGGTCAGTGGCTAAAAGGAAAAAAATAAAGGCTTACCAGCATAAATAACTTTAGTCTGGAGTTACTGGGTTTTTGTGGTACAGTTTACATGTCAGGTCAGTGATTGGTAGTAAATGGACTTGCTCTGAAGCAAATTTCTACAGCAACTAACTTTGCCAGCCAACTTGCTTAATTTTGGCACCAACCAATGAATATAAATACTTGAGTGAAAGACCTCCATTTATAAGGCCATCTGATGACATCTAAGAGTTCTTTGAAGTCTTTTTATCTAAATAACCCAGAATTCAATAATCAATAAACTAAAGAATGTTCAAATACTTACCGAAGACCAATTTTGAAGTTTCATGGACATGCCACTCATTAGTCAGATAAAATTATTTTATTATTAACAGATCTCTCATATTTATTACAAACTTGAAAATTTATTTAGGTTTCCTAACATAGTATATAAATATAAGATCTGTTAATAATACTATAATTTTATCTGACCCTGATGAGTAGCATGTCTCCAAAACTACAGTCAGCCTTAGATAAGTATTTGAAAATTCTTTGATTTATTGATGATTATTGTTGCTCTAGCTGTATATTAAGCATTTTTTGACAAAATTCTGCTTTCATTGATATACATTGAACTTTACAATTTTGTGTATTTCAATAGGTGTTATTGAATTTACACTTATATATATTGGGATCCCAATTTTCCGTTTCAAATTTTCCTTGATTCCATTTCCAGTTTTGGTAAATTCCATTTTTTTTCCATTTTTATAGTATTTTATGGGAAAATTGCAATACAATATGATATAATTATTATTAAAACTGAAAACAAAAATATAATTCAGAGTTTTATTGCATATAAAGAAATGTAAAAAAAAAAAAATGTAACATGACTAGACAATAAAACAATGGAATGTTACAGAGCATAATTATCTTTGAGGTAGAACATTTAAGCGGAGCTTCCTTCTTTAAGAATGCATTCAAAACACATTCAAATTGTTTTTGCTTTTTTAAGTAAAAGTATTTAGATTGATTTATAATTATTGATTCATAATATAAAAATCGCATTTAAAGTATCAACTGCAAATAACTTGAATCTCAATAATAAATATCTGAATAAAGTCAAACATTTTGACTAAAATTTTGCAAAACAGTAATTAAAGCATAATAACTGAATCTTTGTAACAAAAATATCAAAAAACAAATTTAAAATTGCTAAATTCTTAATTTGGGAAATATCTAATCTTCAAATTTCTTCTCTAAATCTTCATCACCATTGTGAGTTGTTTAGTGTTCTCAGGAGTAAGACTTTCAAGTTGTTTATTGAGAAAATGAATGTTTGGTATCTATGCTGGTAACAGGCATCCATATGACCTTATTGGCAATCAGTTCCAGAAGAGGAAATCTGCTCTTATTTGCATTCCAAAATGATGGAATATTAAAAGGATTTGGTAAATCATCATGGTAATTCCCATACATTTGGAATTTTTCAAGAAGATCAGTACAAGGACATTGCAAGTCCTTGATGGCTACAAAACTGTCTTCAGACAGAAGACGATTGATTTCTAGGCCAAATGTTGATTTTTTTTTGATGTACCAGTATGCAAATACTGTTTTACATCCCCCATCTTGTTAAATACAACACATGCAAAGCTGTTATTAAACGAGTGCAGTTCTCATTTATAAAATTTATTTAAAATTCTGATTTAGCTGCAATCTATGTAAATCCATTTGACAACTTTTCTTGCTTATGAGTGAGCTGTTTTGTTCCTATAGGCTGCAGAATCTAGTTTTTTTAAAAAGGCCAATAAATATCCTCAAAAATGTGAAAAATATCAAGATTTAAAATATGTGAGCACAACACATTAACTTAACAAAATATTTGACAACACTTCCTTATGAGCTGTTTTGCTATAGGCTGCAGAATCTGTTACAAAGGCAATAATATCCTCAAATGCAATATCTATGTGAGTTACAGCTCAGATGCATGCCTGACTTACAATTTGATGATTGCATTCTCACAAGGTTACAACATCACTGAGAAATGACTCCCCATGAATGCTTGCAACTACATTCAAAATGCTGTGGTCACAACAGTCAGTTGCTTTGTCTGTCATAATGCTGATTGATTGATTAGCAAGCTTGGCTTTCAGGACAGCAAAGTGACAAGAAAATAATTTTGGTAGATGAAGTTGCCTAACACAATTGACACATGGAATATCATCACCTCCTTTATAATTTTTTTAATATGAATGGCCTCATTTTGTCAATTTTGTGTAGGGGAATATCAGATAAAATGCACATTTTCAAAAATTTGTTTGGGTCAGTAGTAAAGCTTGGGCTCCCAAATGAATGGGTTTTGCAATAAGATAATAACCTTAAACATATGGCTTATTGAAAACAATAACAGTACACATGAATGGCTATCACAGTCTCCAGACTTTAATCCAATAGAGAATTTGTGGCATTTTATTAAAAATTCAAGTTAATAAAAGAGCTTCGAATAACATCCTGGACCTAAAGAGAATATGCAAAAAAGAATAGAGCAAAATGCCAACAGAAACATGCAAATCATTGATTAAAAGCTATAGAAAGCTACTGTTGAATTGAGTAATGGATATGCTACAAAGTATTAAATAGGTATTATAATTTTGTACAAATACTTTTTTCACTTCCAATATTTTTAATTTCATATAATTTCATTAATATAACAAATTCTTCTGAAATTTTTTTTTTGCATGTTGCAGTATTATACCATGGTATACAAATATTGTATGGATTATAAAATTCTTTTATAAAATATAACTATGTTGAATAAAAAAAATTCATAGTGTACAAACATTTCTCTCCCCCACTGTGTGTAATATATATATATATATATATATATATATATATGAGGGCTTGCTTAAATGTTCTTGGCCTGTTAAAAAAGGAATTCCTCACAATAAAATTCTGATGTTGGTCATATTTCAGGACGTGTGTCTGGCTGAAAACTTTTCAGCACCCTTCTCTTATATGAGAATGTGAGAAATATACATAGATATATAAATTTAGTAATCTATTGTAGATTGAGTAAAAGGTTAACAGTTGTGTGAGGTCAAATTTTCCATCACTTTTTCACCAATATTTCAAAATTAGAAACTCTGAAAAATATAATTTGTGTTATTCTCAAAGTGTGTCAGATATCCAGGAAAATATCTGAGCATAATCAAGACCAAGTGCAAGAAAAGTTACAAAAGAAATTGATTAGATGGATAACTATAGAAACAAGTACTTTCTAGTATCAAGTTTAGGACTTGTTATTTCTACTTCCCCTTAATTCAACAGCATAAATTATTGACCTTATAAAATAACAATGAATTTGTGGATTGTCATAGTAGCAGCTAAATTAATATGCACTTTTATATTTTGCAGCTATAAAACTGGTGAAGGTCAGAGCTGAAGTAATGCAGGCTTCATCTGAGGCAATTCCTAGTGGCATGATGTCTGTGTTCTGTACTCACAAAACAAAATTGCGCCTTGCAATGGAAGTAAGCCAGGAAGTTTGCAAACAAAAGCATGGTATAAACAATCCCATCTGCCATGTTGCTAACTATTTATATCCAGATTGTAAAGTAATTGCTGGACATGAACAGGTCAGTTATTATATTGTTATCTATTCTTAACCCATTGAATCCTGATGGATCTCTCACCCTGGGCTGTTGCTGTCCATGACTCTGGTCAGTATACCAGCTGCCCTGGTATATGCACTTTCACACAGCAGGCAGATCTAAGTAGCCACAAAACATAAAATCACTTGCTGCTTTTCAAACTTCTTAATGTAAGTGAATTCCTCAGGCTGGATTGTTTATGCTAGCCATGTTTAGGATATTTTCAGTTATGAGTCATGGTTACACTTGCTTATTGACACATAACTCATCGAAAATCTTTGTGGTGTTTTGATAGACCATGGCAAGTTTATTTCTGAAAAGGAAAAATCTATCTGTTGCCACTTGGCAGACCAGAAGGAAAATGGAAGCTCTTTCTTCTATAAAAATAGATAACTATTCTTATTATTCTTTTTTTCAACTTAAATTTATCAGTCAGTCCCTATTCTTTATTTACACATGGATTGTTGTCCTCATCTTTGTTGCTGTTATTGCATTTCATAACTGAGCAGTACTAAAAATAACAACTAGAAAAGACATAGGCAGTGGAATGAGAACAATAGAGTCCTGTAGATGAAAGAAAGGGTTCAATTTGGAATTCCCTGTAGGTTACCCAGATCAATATACACCTGTTTTGATAACAACAACAATGATGATGACAATAGTCTGCATGTAAATGGTGTAAATAATGATAACTGCTCATCCCGGAAATTCAGACAGAAACAGTTTCTATTCATTTTCTATGGGCACATTGGATGAAACAAGTGGGGGAACAATTGTCAGCTTAGAGCTTTTCTTTCTTTAGTAACAGTGAACAGTCTAAAATGACAATAATTTCTCTTTTTGAGCATGGCAGTGATGGGTAATGGCTGACATGGTGGAGTAATGGATAGTGGCTTGGATTGAGGAATCGGAGAGCCGAGTTCGAATTCCAGTCAAATCCATTACATTCACTTATTTTGCTAACACCTTGGGAAAGGTGTGAATCCTCTTTCTTCTCCCTCCAGCTATGGGTAAATAGCAGGACAGACTGGGTTCTATAGCCTTGGATGGCAACTTGTCTAGGAGAAGGAAAACTCTGAATTCAAAACCTGCTCTTAGATGAGGGTGATTGGAGTCTCTCTGAGCCTTGGTTGGCAATCCATTTAGTGATGGTGTCACGATAAAAACACCCTTGATAGCCCTAGCAAAGCATCAAGAATTCAGCTATTTGACAAGATTATGAACTACACCAATCAAAGTATTAGTGAGTTCAATCTTGGCTGAGGCCGCAAGATGTTATGGCTGACTGCAACTGAGAGGTTGGCTGGCAAGGAAGAAGAATGAGAAGAAGCAGTATTCGCAAGAGATCATGTGATGAAACATAAACAAAACAATAGTTTCCGTTTTAGGGAATGTGTGTAGGAAAAACATGATATAGAATCGGTTTTGTTATTTTGAATTTCTAAGGATACAGTAAGTAACATTTCCAATAACATCATCTTTATATAATCAATAAACAGTCATCTTATTTTACAGGTATAGGAAAAGTTATGAAAATCTGCTATGTTTTTTGACCTTGTCTTATCTTAAGGTCTCACCTTGAGTTTATTTCTAATTCATAGTTTACTCACTGCTGTAGACTGTTGCAGTCACTACCTTTAGTTTCAAAAGCAGTGGTGGCAACCAAAATTTCCACAAATAAATGACAAACAAAAATTTTTTTGTTTGAAATAAAAACAATCTATTTATATAAAATTTAATTTTTTGAGAAACTGAGTGTGTGTGTGTGTGTGTGCGTGCATGTGCGTATAAGTGTTTGACAGTTGTGGAAGAATAACTTGTATATGTGGCAGCAGCTGATTTTTAGAGAACAGAAAAATGAGGAAGAGTAAGATTTTTGAAAACTTGCACCTTTTTATAGTTGTAATGGTAGCCTTACCATCAACAACAAAAAAAAAACACGAGAATAACAAAAGAAGTGGATATAAGACTTAACTGAGATAAGTGAAAGAGTTTTTATTCCCTGTGATTTACAATGTTTGCTCGTTTACTCATTCCAGGGTATCATATCTCAGATGTGGGAGATTAAGAGTTTGCTCGGAGTATAACACGAGGTAGTAATTGAGATAGACACATAGAGAAAATAAATATACACATGTTGAGTGAGAGATTCATAGGGAAAAATCAATACACGTATATATATTCAAGTTAATATCTGCTGCTGGTTTTGTCACTGGCTGAAGCTATTGCTGTTGATAGAAGTGCCTTAGTGTTGTTGTTGATGGCCTTGGTCATCATGTAGTCTTGCTTGCTGTGGGGGTCCATCACTAATGCCAGCTTGGTCAGATCTGTCTTCAGGGGAAAAATTAGCCTTGGCTTTCTATTGAGTCAGTGGCTCAGAAGTGGCCACTGTGAAAACTATGCAAGTTTTTTCTGATTGTTCACATTTTATGACCCTGGTATTTTTCGATAGTATTCTGGAAGTGGGTACACAGAGCATGTTTATGTCATACAAGTTGTGGATGTTGAAGAGAGCATTTCTATTTGAGTTCAAGAATAGGAATTCCAACAGAGTGACATTCTCATGCCACGTGACCCTAGTCAATTGACTTACATGTCTAAGGGAGGTAATCCCACGTTTGCCACATTTATTTACGTTCTTGTTTATTTTTTTTGTTTTTGTTTTGGTTCCTGCAATTCTGATGGTCTGTGTAATTGCAATAAAAAGGAACTAAAATTAAAATAAATTAAATGCTAGTCAAAAGTTAATACTGGTTGATAATGCTTTATCTAGAATAAAATCAAGTTAACATTACTACTGCTACAAGTGTATATAAAAACATTGTGCAGAGCTAAAATTAAGATTTAAAAAATACTCTTGTTTGTTTTATGTTTAAAACTAGAAATGCCTTACTTCAAAATCCACATAGTTGCTAGTATGAAAAATAATGTACTTTCTGGGTGAGAAAGGTTAGTCAGTTTTTCATGTGTCTTTACTACAATATTTCTTCCCACGGCTGTGGATGTGTGGGTGGTTTAATTGATAGCAGCTCAGAATGAGAAATCAGAGAACTGAGTTCCAGCCAGGTTCATTACATTCACTTAAGTGTAGATATTCATGGGAAAGTTCCCCTTAGCTACTTAAAGAGAATGGCTACTTTGTGGTAGACTTCCAAGAAGATGCTCTTCCCCAAGCACTACAATCTTAACCTCTTCAAGTTTAGGATCAACTGTTATCTATCCCAGATAGCCTCATAATTTGCATACAACCTCACTCAGTGAGCATCTACTTTGAGTGGCTCTTCAGATTGGGTGAAAGTTTAGTTACAAAAATATATTTGATATTACCATTGATTGTATATCTATCATTATTAATTGAAGTGTATAAGTTTTCTCAAGTTTTTTCTTTCTTTCCAGGCATTAGAATTTATTGCTCAAAATTCTAAAGATTTTGGAATTAAGCGAACCAAACGTTTAGCCGTGAGTGGTGCTTTTCATACAAACTTGATGCAAGATGGATTGCCAGATTTCACCAATGCTCTGAAGAAAGTAGAATTCCAACCACCTTCAATTCCTGTGTTCAGCAATGTAAAAGCTGAGAGGTACTCCAATTCCAACCAGGAATTTCTCAAATTATTGAGGATGCATCTTATTAAACCTGTCAAATGGGAACAAATCATGCATATTTTATATTCTCGAAAGAAAGGAGAGAAATTTCCTCACACTTATGAGGTGGGACCTGGTAAGCAGCTGGGAACACTACTCCGAATGGTTAATGTAAAAGCTTTTGAAAATTATCACAATGTTGAGATTTGATATTTTGAATTTATTTTAAAAATGTTTAGATTTTTGTATTAATAAAGCAGAAACAAATTTTGTCTCTTGTTCTTAAAAGGTTATTACTCAAAAATTAACTAAAAAGGCTTTTCTGACAACAAAGCTTTTCACCTATGCATTGACTTTAAATCGTTTTTTTTTTTTTTTTACTCCTCATTGGTGAGTTTATGGTAATGAGGTTCACCTAGTCAAGATATTAAAACTGAAGTCAATGTTTTGTCACTATAAATCTGCTATTCTTATCATTGATCCAAACATTAAGTGATAATTATTCAACAATATATTAAACTAATACATGAAGTCAGCACATTGGGAAAAATACTTAGCATGGATACAGTTCTGTTTTATAAGTAATAATTTATATCTTGTTCATAGCTGTACAATATGATTTGATATTATTACAATGATTTTTAAATTAGCTTCTATTATTAAATCTAAGGAGGAAAATTATTTTTTTAACAGATCTCTTGCCTGAAATACAAAATATGAGAGGAACACCTGAATTTTAACTGCGGCACATGGTACTATGTGGTGTTATGAGTAAACTCTAGGAGTCAGTCTGTCAAATGGAATACTGAATTGACTAATCTGTTTCCTGTCTTTTTATTTTATTGTGTGTGTGTGTGTATATATATATATAGAGAGAGATTTGTTAATTTTTATGATAGCTAACTATCACGGTGTGACAAAAGAAATGAAAGTAAACAATGCAAAATAAAACAGATACTGACAGTTAATCTTTATTTAATTTATTTAAAGCTGGTAGTCAGAAAAAGGAAGTCAGGTTTAGAGCAATTTTGATTAAAATGTTGGTATATAAATCTACACAAACAGGAGAACAGAATTTAAAATAATACATATAAGCGTGACTGAAACTACATGAGTCTTTCTGATATTGGTTGAATGAAGGCAAAACAAAAAGAGAAAGATTAATATAGAAGATAATGAATAACATGTTTACTGGGGAATATGTTTCTTCTGTGAATCCCAAGAAACAAGTGTCCGCACTGTAGTGTTTGTTGTTCTTTGAACACTTTCAAGACATGTATTTTGGAAGGAGAAAGTTTTCTACAAGTGTGTGTGTGTGTGGATGGGACAATAAGGATAAAAAGGGCAACTCATTTATAACACTAACAGATAAAGAACAATGTGCATGTTAAGTTTTGGTTTCTTTTAGGGAAAACTTATACAAGAAAATTTGTTTACCACACAAATGTCCAAGTGGTATTCACTTTTAAGACCAAGTGAAATGTCATTTGAAAAATCGAAAATGATCGTGCTGACTTTCAAGAAACTGGTATAACAATATTTGTCATACCAATGAAAAATTTGCTGTGCATTCAATGAAGATTGTTTTTTGGATTGTTGCTGAGATATGCGATGTGACTGGTTTGTCTTTCATACCAGCGATTGTTAAGATTTGAAAATGAAACTGGTTTCCACTAATTCAGTGCCTCAGAGAATAAAAACAAGAAACAAAATCCTTTGAATTTGTACCATTAACTAAGAGAAAAAGTATTAAATGACCCACCATTTCTTTCCAAAGTTGTGATTAGATATAAGTGTCAGTGCTATGGTTACACTTTGGAAACAAAACAAATGTTAAGCCAATAAAATAACTGGAAAAGGAAAAGTTTTGATGTTAATGTAAAACAAAAAATACTGGAAGTCTTGAACAAAAACCAAACTGTAGAATTCCAGAAATGTTTTTAGCATTGGGGAGAGAAAAAAAAATCCTTGAGAGAAGTGCAAAATGAGTTTGTAGAAGACTTTAGTTACACATTGTAAAACTTAATAAAACATTTTTTAATTCCAGTTATTTTGGGTTATTCACTCATATTCAATGAGGTAGGTGCCCAAAATTGGTTTAAATGACCCAACATTAATTTTTTTTTTTTTTTAAGGGTTTTGAATCTTTCCTCTACAGCCATCAATGAATATTCTATACTATATTACATTTCATATTTCTTTTATCAATTCAGTGTAAATTTTCACCATTTAGACCCATTTCTATTTGTAAAACTAATTTCTTCAAAATGTTTCAGTATAAGGGATTGATGAAGTACATTTTGTAGAGAAAACCTTTTATCTATTATAAATGCTTATTAATGTAAACAAAAGTAAAATTTGCACAGAAATGTTAGTAATAACTCATTCACAAAGATATGATGTATTCAATTTATTTTGTCATAGAGTGTAAATTGAAATATTTAAATAAAAAAAAATTACTGAGCTTAAGAGTATGTCCTAGAGTCTTAATAACAGTCTGCCTACAGCAAAACATTTCACAAATTCCAAATCTTTAACAGTTGAAGATGTATAAACAAAAAAGCCTTTAGTCCCACTTGTCTAAAGTGGCACAAAAGAAAATAACTGATAGGAGTTATCTACCCTTAGTATGAAAAGCAGGAGAACCATCTATCCGCATGAACAATGGATTTGATTCAAAATTCCAAGAAAAAAAAAACAACTGATGAAGACCAGAGGATAAAACAGCCGAAACCGAGTATATCAATCTATATGATCATGTTGGTCTGGGTAGGAAAAACAATTTCTCTCATCTCAAAATTTCCAACATAATCAATAATGTAATCTTCCCTGCTAAAAAAGGAAAATAAATTTACATAAAACAAGGTTGATATAGTTTTCAATAAGTTTGACAAAAAAAAAAAAAATCCCTTATATGTAGATATTAAAATAAACAATCTTCCTGAAGGATACATTGGAAAATCATAAGTTGCATGTTGGTTCATATGGCTAGCTTCTTAACTAAGGATGTGCCACCACACTTTACTCAAGGTACCTCCATTAATTCGCAATACCTAAGGTTTAAAATGAATTTTTAAAATTAAAAATCTTTCTTGAAGCTTTCATTGTAAGCTAATGGCTTAAATTTACTTTTATCAGTAAGCAAAATACTCTGTACTGTATTACAAACAGAAATTACATTGGAGTCAATTCACTTTTTTTCTAGCTAAAAATAGTTGATTATTGCCCTTTTTTTAGTCATCAGTCATTGTAATGTAATTTTCTTTATTAAAAAAATCTTCCAAAAATAAAATACACTTTTCTGAAGTTTTATTTAGGAATATTAACCGATTTAAAGTATAATTAATCTAATTTGAAACAAATATTTACTTCAATATGTAAATAACAGAGAAATTGATTTTTAAAACAAACAGTAGCAATGATTACGTGCCTGTCATCACCCATAAATCACTTAACAAATGCATCTGAGTGTTCATAGTTTTATTGTTGTTCTATAGAGAACATCTGTTAAAACATAATATAAGAAAATGTTGGAAAAATTCTCCATAATCTAATTTTAAGAATGTTGACTTTAAACTTACTATAGTCATCAATCTTATTTTCTGATAATGTCATGTATGGTCAGCCATACTTTCAAAATGGGTACATTTATACACATAAAAAAAATTAATAAGTATTTTAAAAATCTTAGTGCACGATTTGTATTAAGCTTTTCAATTTTTCGCTTAGTAAATATAGTCTTTACTTAATAATTTAACGTAAGGTCAAAGCTTCAAAGAATTTTTAAAAGATTTTTGAAACATTATAAATTATTATAATTAAAAAAAAAAAACAATTCTCGTAAAAATTCATTAATCATCAAAAAAACCTTTTCTTTTCAGACTATGACCTTAAGACATATAAGCAATTAAAAGCTTAAATAATTAGATATTGTAATTTTACTTTACTATGTGGAACAGATGTTTGAGAAAGCAGTAACTGTTTAAAAAATATATATATATATATAATAATATAGATGGTTTACATTCTTCAAGGAGTCCTGCTTTTAACTAGGCACCTCCACTGAATTTTTGATGCCGAAGTTTTAAAATTAAATTTTAAAAATGAAAACGCATTCTTGAAGATTTCATTCTAGTTTTAATTGAAAACTAAGGGATTAAATTTATAACTTCAAGTATGTAAAATATTCTGGTGTGTCTGGGAGCTCACTTCCACGTTTCCAGACACGACACGACGCAGCGTGTTTTCATTATGTGGAAAGCTGGATCCGCATTGCTGACTACTTTTTGGTAATTTTTCTTCATCACTTTTTTTCCGTCGTAGAATACACGCGACGCGCTGTCACTTGGTTTGATGAGGTAAGTCGCTGTTGTTGATACTGAGTTTGATGTTTCCAACTCCCCGGCTTCTGAGAGCCTTTCCATCAGCCGTTAGTACGTCCATATTTTGTCTGCTCCACTGTCGACAAAACACAAACTTTTTTCCGGGGTACCTGATTATCTCTTTCCCTACACTCCCCCCTGTCACTCATGGGCGGGCCTCTTTATTCTAAAGCTTCTCCGGAGCGGGTCAACTGTTGGAGGAGATTATGTGTTATGTTCTGGGAATTCTTCTGATCTGACAACCTCATGCACAGAATGTTCTGAAGATTCTTCTTCTGGTCTGACAACCTCACGCTCTACGGATAATGGTATTCACTTACCAAAATATCCGTAGATTTTTGAAAGGTAATAATTTCAGAAGAATCCTCATGAAGAAGAATCTTCAGAACATTCTTCAGATGATGAAGACTGTGCATGAGGTTGTCAGATCAAAGAAGAATCCTGGAGGAACATAACATTAAAATCTCCTCCAACAGTCGCCCCTTTCCGGAAATCATTTAAGAATAAAGAGGCCTGAAAGTTTCACTTAAAGTGGGGAATTTTGAAATAGATAATTGGGTACCCCGGAAAAAGTTATTGAAAAAAAAATGTTTATAGCGAAAAAAATTACCAAAAAGTTGTCAGCAATCTGGATCCACCAAAATAGGAAAATGTGGTTAAACTTTCCACATAATGAAAGTTGGCTGCGTCAGTGTAATTTGTCTGGAAATAAAAGCGAGCTCCCGGACTTTGCAAGACACATGACACGATGCAGGGTGTTTTCTTATGTGGAAAATGGGACATTTTCATCTTGAGCGGGTGAAAATTCTTTACTGGACTACTTTTGAT